TTGCACAACCAGCTGGGTTTATGAAACAAGGCGAAGAAAGAAAGGTGTACATGCTTCATAAATCCCTGTATGGACTTAAGCAAGCTCCAAGAGCTTGGAATAAGAAAATCGACATCTTCTTAAGGGAGAAGGAATTTGTGAAGTGTACAACTGAGCATGGTGGATATGTAAGAAGAAGCAATGGATAATTGCTTATACTATGTCTCTATGTTGATGATTTGTTGATAATAGGGAGTTGCAAGAAGGAGATCGAAGATTTCAAACATGACCTGAGTGAGGAGTTTGAAATGTCAAACTTGGGAAATCTCTCATATTTACTTGGCATCGAATTCCACAAGACAAGTAAAGGTTTGATGATGCACCAAAGAAGATATGCAGACGAAATACTCAAGAGATTTGAGATGCAAAATTGCAACCAAACTTCGACTCCAGCTGAGCCCAGATTGCAACTGTCGAAGGATTCAGATGAAGATGATGTCGACCCAACCCAATACAGAAGACTTATTGGGTCACTTAGATACCTTTGTCACACAAGGCCTGACTTATCATACAGTATTGGTATGGTAAGTAGATTCATGCAGAAGCCAAGGATATCACACCTAGTAGCGGCGAAGAGGATACTGAGGTATCTGAAAGGAACTCTCGACTATGGAATTTTGTTTCCACCAGTTGATGAAGGAAAAGAATGCAAGTTAGTGGGATACACAAACTCTAGTTGGTGTAGTGATGCTGAGGATCGAAAATCCACAGCTGGGTATGTGTTTATGTTAGGTGGTGCACCAGTTGCTTGGAATTCGAGAAAGGAACCAGTAGTGGCATTATCATCATGCGAAGCAGAATATATAGCTGCTTATCTTTGTTCATGTCAAGCAACTTGGATGGTGAATTTGGTAGAAGAAATCACAGGGAAGAATCATGGAGCAATTACCATGAAGATAGACAGCATGTCAGCTATCCACTTGGCGAAGAATCCAATAGCTCATGATCGAAGCAAGCACATCAAAATGAGGTTCCATTATCTTCGAGAGCAGGTAGCAGAAGGGAAGATGAAGTTGGAACACTGCAAAACTGAGAATCAGATTGCAGATATCATGACTAAGGGAGTGCAGGTCGAAGCCTTCAGAAGACTAAAAGCCATGATGAATATAGACAGTTTAGACACAATGAATTAGGTGGTGTGTTAAATGTAATTCATAGTGTGTCGAAGTCGAAATAGCAAGGAAGCAGTCGAAGTCTAAGTTAAGTGTCGAAGCGTCAAAGCTTTCAGTGTGTCGAAACAGTTTGTTTTGACACAAATTTGTTTTGATGAGATTTGATATGATTTAGATTAGATTTGATTTTGAATATTTTGGGCCTTTTATGTTTTGGGCTTTTGTAAACCTAAAACTATAAATAGGTGCCTTGCTTTGTAATCAAAATAGAACATATTTCACAGTTGCAGAGTTTAGCAAGTGAAAGTTCAATAGTAATCAGAAATCCCACAGTTTGTAGCTAACACAATTTTCTCCAAATATTTCTTCTCTCATTCTTCTCTTTCTTGTTGTTTGTTTGTTTGTTTGTTATTCTTCTTCTCTTTTGTTGTTCTTGATAACTCTTTACTTGTTATCACCATTACTATCATATTGTGGGTTTGTTCATCAATCTTGAGATCAAGATTGAAGGGAATTCTTCATAGGGTGTGAGGTGAATTTCCAACAAGAGAATTGTAACTTCTGAGATGCTGCAAGATTTTAAGGTGAATGTGACTATTTCATACAACATTCTGCAATACGCGGATGATACGATCATCATTTATGACGGTTTATGGTTCAACCTCTGGGCATTGAAGGCAATCTTAAAAGGATATGAAATGATCTATGGCCCTAAAATTAACATTGGGAAATCATCTCTATATGGAATTGGTGTTGAGGGAAATTACTTACATGCAGTTGAACAATTTTTGGTTTGTAAGATTGAGTCATTACCATTCAAATTATTGGGCGTGTACATGGGAGGCAATCATCGTAGAATCTCGTTTTGACAACCGTTGATAGATTGTCTGAAGAGAAGATTGGAAATGTGGAAAGGTAAACTTATATCCATTGGAGGGAGACCCACTCTCATCAAATCAGTTATGTCTAGTATTCTGATCCATTACCTTGATTTCTTCAAAATACCAAGGAAAGTGCAGTCACTTATTATATCCATTCAGAGTCGGTTCTTGTGGAACGGTTTGAAGAAGTTGTGTGGTATTACATGGTTTAAGTGGAAAACTATATGTAAGCCTAAGGATGAAGGCGACCAAGGTGTGAAAGACATTGGTCTTTTCAATAAAGCTCTACTATCTAAATGGCTTTGGAGGTTTTTAACAGACAAAAAGGCTATTTGGATGGGAATCATTGAAGAGCAGTACAAAGATTTTAGAAAATCTATTATTTCCAAAGCTTTTCTCAACTATCACAAAACCTCATCCTTATGGTGGAAGGACATTATGTCACTACTTGGAGAGGAAGGTGATGGCAACTTTATCAAGCATCTCTCTCATAGAATTGGTGATGGTTGTAAGTGTCTCTTTTGGGTATCGAAATGGCTGGGAGATAGACCATTGTGCTTTGTATATCTGAATCTGTTCAATGCATCCAATACGAAATTCTGTTTTGTGAACCAAATGGGATGTTGGAGTGATGCGATTTGGAAATGGAAGTTTGATGAATTGGTATGTGGGAATAACGTGATTCTGCAAAGCGAGTTTCATGCTCTTTTTCGGAAGATTGCTCATATCAAAAATAAATCGGATTGCATCTTATGGCCATATGCAGGTAATAAAACGTTTTTCGTTAGGTCCTGCTACTGCATCCTATCTAAAACACATGTTATATTCAACATTGAAGATGAAAAATTTCAAACCTTAAAGTTGTCTTGGAATGCATCAATCCCAGTTAAGATTCGAGTTTTTGTGTGGCAGTTAATTTTAGACAGGCTTCGAACTCATATTAATTCGTCGCGTCGTGGAATCATCAACGATTCTCATGAAAGAGTTTGCGTTTTTTGTTTCGAATATGATGAAGATTTTAGCCATGTATTTTTTGGATGTGTGAAAACTAAGATTATATGGAGGAGGAAGATTTGCAACTAACTTAAAGTATAAATGTTTAATTCAATAGGTGTAGGTGATCACATGTTTGCTTGGATAAACAAGGTTAGAATGAAGATGTTGATTTTCAATGCGTTTAGATTATGGTCTATTGTATGTTGGAGCATTTGGTTGTCTAGAAACGAAATACTTTTCAACGAGAAAATTGGAGATCCGAAAATTATGTCGCAAAAGATTATTCTGAAATCATGGTGGTGGCTTTCTAAAAGACATAACCAATCTTTAATTGTAGTTACTATGACAGATGCAAACATCCTTGACATTTTCTATAACTTTTGAAATTTGTTCTTAAATTTGGACCGATGTAGAATGTATTTGGGTTGAGGTACTCCTAGTACCCATATTGTTAATATATTTTTTCTGCTTATCAAAAAACAAATCTTTAAAAATTCATATAAATAATAGTTATTTAAATAGTTTTTATAACGTTAGTAAATCACAACTATTAGATCAATATAAATAATTATATTTACCCATATATATATATATATATATATATATATATATATATATATATATATATATATATATATATATATATATATATATATATATATATATATATATATATATATATATATATATATATATATATATATATATATATATATATATATATATATATATATATATATATATATATATTATAAACTTCACATTAATAGTGTAAATAATTTTTATAACGCTAGTGAATCGCAACTATTAGATCTTTAGAAATTCACATAAATAGTTTGTCCTTTTCTTCACAACTATTAGCATATAAATCATAGTCATTTAAGATCTTTAAGCGAGTTTCAAATATTATAAAATAAAAAGAAATACTATTTTAGTAGCATATAAAATATAGTCAATATTTAAATCTTTAATTTATAAACTATATATATATATATATATATATATATATATATATATATATATATATATATATATATATATATATATATATATATATATATATATATATATATATATATATATATATATATATATATATATATATATATATATATATATATATATATTAAAGAAAATAAACATGAGTATATTGAGTAAAAATATATATATTGAGTCAAATAAAATCTTCTCATATATCTTTAATAAAGAAGAAAATACTAAGAAACTCTTTTTGTTGAAATTTTCTCATATATTTAAAAATTAAAATCTTCTCATATATTTTTAATAAAGAAGAAACACTCTTTTTGTTGAAGTTTTCTCATATCTTGAACCAAAAAAATCTTTTCATATATTAAAGAAGATTTTTATTTTTCGAAATTTTCTCACGTATTGAGTATAAAAAATCTTTTCATATATTTTTAATAAAAAATAATGATTTATGTGTATAAAAAGTTTTTCTACCATTTATCACTTCTCATATATTGAATACAAAATATTTGAATCTTAACATTTTTGTTAAAGAAAATCTCTTAAACTTATTGAGTCAATATTATGAGTTATGTATCTTCAAAACTCAATCGAAAAGTAAAAGATTTCCTATTTTGACAATAGAAATATAAGATATTCACGTACAAAGCAATATTTCTATTTTCCATTATATTCGATTCAATTTATTTAATTCTTATATGAATGTTGTTCTTTCTTTCATCTCTATCTGAACGATAAACTTCTGGTGTATGTTGTTCACAATTATTATCATATTCATTCTTGTGTCCTTTTTTCCAAATTTCAGAGATAAATTTGTCAAAGTATAAAGATTATAAGGTTTGTTAATTTTGTTGACTTAATTATGCATTTTTTTTGTGATAATTTTACACATAGTTATTGAGCAATTGTTTTTTTTCTTTTTGTAAAGGTGGATATCTCTTATAATAGTAACAAAAAAATTTGTTATTCTAACTTTTCAATACAAATGGATTCTCAGTTATCTCGTGTCTCTAAAAGTAGAAGAGTATTGAAAATTGTATATGATGATCCTGATGCAACAGATTCTTCATCCGATGAAAGAAATAATATTAGTGTAGATAAAAAAACAATGAGGAAGAGAGTTGTGTATGAAATTGCATTCCCTAATATTCAGAGTGATCAAAGAGTTGATAATGGATTGAACAAGAATAATAAGTGTGGAACACCAAAACATGAAGTGAACAAGAATAATAAGAGTTGTGGAACACAAAATGAAGCGGAACAACCTTCATGCAAATACAAAGGCGTTCGAATGAGACAATGGGGTCGATATTCAGCAGAAATCCGCAATCCGAATACTGGTAAACGTAATTGGCTTGGAACTTTCGACAATGCAGAAGAGGCTTCTAAAGCTTATGAAGCTAAAAGACATGAATTTGAAACTACATACAAGAATGGTTTGCGCAAAGGAAAGAGGAACAAGAGACTCAAAACAGTTTCTTTTGCTGAACCTTTGCGTAAAGGAAAGAGGAACAAGAGACTCAAAACAGTTTCTTTTGCTGAACCTTTGATTGCTTCTTTGAATGACTCCTCCAAGAGAGAGACCTCAAATATATCTATATCTTCGCCTGAATTGGTTAACAATGTTGAAGTTTCAAGAGATAAAACTAATTCTTTAGAGAAAACAGACATAGTGCAAGAACTGAATGCTATTACGAGTGTTAATACTTCATTGCAACTTGAGTCGAATTGGTTAACACTTGATGAATCAGAGTTAGACTTGGTTGCTGGTGATGATCATGGTTGCCTTGATGACTTGAGTGATATTGATATTCCATTTGATTTTGATTTTTTTGGTACTCAATTTGCGGTTTATCATGGGATTGAACAACCTCACAAAAGAAGTTCGGTTAAAGAACTTCCCAAAATATCCAAACAAATTAAAGAATCTCACAATAAACGCGGACAATAAATTGTGTAGTTCTAAGTCATTATGATATTATGATGTTATTACCGTTGCTACTACAAATAAAAGTTCTATCATTGTTATGATTATCTTGATCTTCAAAATGAAGTTAATCTTACAATTTTTTTTTAACTTATACCTAATTATGCTTTATGTTTTCTTTTCAAATAGTTTAATTTCATTGTTTATTTCTTTGCTTGTTTTCTTTTGAAGTTTGTCGTCTAGATTTGATTGTCTAATGGTTGAAGGTGGCAAAAAAGATTAGGTTACTTTATTTAATTTCTTTAATATTTGATTCATTTTGATTATTTAATTGAAGGGTTGTATAGATTGAAAACTTCTTTTAGGTATTTCTATTAATTGTTCATGGGGGATTGAAAATTGACCATGTTAATTATATTTTGTTTTTATTCAATAAATAAACTACTGTATATTTTTTAGACTAATTATCATCATACGGTAAAGGTGTTACAAAATTAGTTTGGAATATTGACTATATAAAGTTAGGTATTTGAATATATTCATAAAATAGTGATATCCTCTTTATACACTCTATACAAGAGTTTTCATTTTCTTCTCTATACAAACATTTTTTTTTCTTCATTCGGAGAGAGGGAGAAGGAGAGAAAAAGTTCTAAAAAGTAGAAGAAGTTGAATGAGTTACAAACACATAATGCATCAAACCATAACCGCTAAATAAACCTTAAAAAAATTCTATGATAAATATATTTTGAGGGAATTAAAAATGGAAATTTATATTTAAATTTTTAAAAATTTAAAGATTATTTCTTTGAACACAAATTTTAATTTTTATGTTTTATTCATATTAAAGTTTTATATTTTCATTGTAAAGTGGACATGATTTTAGCTAGTTACTATAAAAGTCAAATATTTATATAAAATAATTTAATGCATATATAATTTTAGTCTAAATAGTTTTTTATAAAGTTAGTCAATCACAATTATTAGATCTTTAAAAATTCATATAAATAATAGTCATTTAAATCGTATTTATAACGTTAGTCAATCACAACTACTAGATCAATATAAATAATTGTAATTATTCATATATAATTTAATGCATATAAATAATAAGGGTAATGTTAAGTTGTACCTTTGGGGTACAAGTTAAAAATTAAATTAAGAAATATTATTTTGAAAATTGTGTACAAATTTTAATTAAAACATAAAATTAATTTTTAAATTGTATTTTTTAATACAAATTTATTATAAATGAATTTTTTAACTTATATCCTTAGATCACAAATTAACATTACTCAAATAATAAATATTCATTTAAATAATTTAATGCATATATAATTTTAGTGTAAATAGGTTTCAATCACAACTATTAGTCAACTTTTAGTGTAAATAGGTTTCAATCACAACTATTATTCATAATAAAATTTTATATCTTTATTATAAGGTGGACATGACTTTAGCTGGTTATTATAAAAGTCAAATACTCATATGAAATAATTTAATGCGTATATAATTTTAGTATAAATAGTTTTTATAACATTCGCATTCACAACTATTAGAACTTTAAAAATCCCTATAAATAGTACTATGTACTTTTCTTCACAACTATTAGATCTTTAATAGGAATGTGTATATTAATTAGAACATCCATATAAATAATAGTCATTTAAGATATTTAAACGAGTCTCAAATATTATAAAATGAAAAGAAATACTATTTTAGCAGTTAGTTAACATTTATATATATATATATATATATATATATATATATATATATATATATATATATATATATATATATATATATATATATATATATATATATATATATATATATATATATATATATATATATATATAAAGTATTATATGAGAATGTCATTTTTATGTGAGAACATGAGAATGAATCTGAAATATTAAATTTTAAAATAAATTGTAGAGATTATGTGTCAGTTTTTTTTTTCTTCCATAATTTATTTTAATAATGGAGGAGAAAGAAAAACAAAAATCACACTTAATTTGCTCTATCTTCACTCCTATAAAAAAAAGGAATTGGCCTCAAATATTTAAGGAGTACATACGAAAAAAGAAAACAGGTCATCATAATATTTTTGAAACCTAAAAAAAAAGTTATTGTGAAACTTGAGAATTTTTGTTAAAAAACACACAAGAAACCTTCTACAGGGATCAACTTTTTAAATCAACCTTCAACTTCTTATTCTAAAATGATAAATGTTAATATTTAAAAATTCAATTTCTTTATATCTTTTTAATTTTTTTTTATAAGCATACAAATATATTATAGGGAGCACTAGGGTGCTCCAACCCAAGAGAACAAGATACAAACGCCAATAAAAACTCCTATATAAAGTCTAGAGGTGATTTAAATCACTCATAAAGATTACAACGATAAAACCTTTTATACCTTAGCATTAACCAAGACTACAAGATTGCGCAATAATTCATTTCATAAGAATCTCCGTATTACCAATAACATCTTCAAAGATAATTTGGTTACACATCTTTCAAATACATCAAACGGTTGCATATCAGACCATAAAAGTAGAGAAATTAGTGTATTTCCCTTTCAACAAAGTCTCTCACTCCTTCAAATGGGTTTCAACATTATCCACCACCAAAAAAGATATACATTTCTTTATAATATTTTGAGGGTTTATGATTTATTTCTTTCTTTCTAATTCAGTCATATATATGTTGTCCAAAATTATGAAATTGTAATATATGTGATTGAAAAACCCTAACCTTACCCGTATATACAATATGCATAGAAAAACATATATTTTTATATTTTGTGTTTATAATGTTGTCATCAGAAAACTACTTGTTTATTATTGTGTATTGTTTCTGATTTCACTCTTACATGTATTGTGTTTATTTTTCACAATTATAGAAATTTACGAACGAGCTTGTTTGGAAGTGATTATTGAAGCTTTATTGAAGTTGAGTGATAAACTTGTCCACTTATTAATAAGGATTATAAGGTTTGTTAATTTTTTTGACTTAATTATACAATTTCTTTTAAAGATAATTTCATATATAATTATTTTATAATCGTTTTTTTTCTTTGTAAAGGTGAATACCTCTTATAATAATAACAAAAAAAAAATTGTTATTCTAACTTTCAAATACAAATGGATCCTTCGCCATCTCGTACATCTAGAAGTAGAAGAGTATTAAAAATTGTATATGATGATCCTAATGCAACAAATTCTTCATCTGATGAAAGAAATAATATTAGTGTGGATAAGAAAACAATAAAGAAAAGAGTTGTGCTTGAAATTGTATTTCCTAAGGTTCCGAGTGATCAAATTATTGATAATGGATTGAAAAAGAATAATAAGTGTGGAGCACCAAAACATGAAGTGAACAAGAATAATAATAGTTGTGGAACACAAACATATGAAGTGAAAGAACCGTCTTACAAATACAAAGGTGTTCTAATGAGACAATGGGGTTGATATTCAACATAAATCTGCAACCCGATTAATGGTGAACGTAATTGGCATGAAACTTTCGACTATGCAAAAGAGGCTTCTAAAGCTTATGAAGCTAAAAGACATAAATTTGAAAGTATATACAAGAATGATTTGTTTAAAGGGAAGAGGAACAAGAGACTCAAAACAATTTCTTTTGTTGAACCTTTAGTTGTTTCTTTGAATGACTCCAAGAGAGAGACCTTAAATATATCTTTATCTTTGCTTGAACTGATTAACAATGTTGAAGTTTCAAGCAATGAAACTATTTTTTTTATACAGAAAACAGACATAGTGCAAGAATCGAATGTTGTTGCGAGTGTTGATGCTTCATCCCAACTTGAATCGAATTGGTTAACACTTGATGAATAAGAATTGGACATGGTTGCTGGTGATGATCTTGGTTGCCTTGATGACTTGAATGATATTGATATTCCATTTAATTTTGATTACTTTGATATCAATTTGCGATTTATCATAGGATAAAAGAACATCACAAAAGAAGTTCAATTAAAGAACTTTCCAAAATACCCAAGCAAATTAAAAAAACCTTGTAATATACCGGAGCAATAAATTTTATAGCTCTGAATCATTATGTTGTTGTTACTACAAATAAAAGTTTTATGTTATTTGTTTCTATGATTATCTTGATCTTCAAAATGATATTCATCTTACAAGTTTTTTTGTTAATTTATACATAATTATGCTTCATGTTTCCTTTTTAAATAGTTTGATTTCATCGTTTTTTACATCCATGAATTCATTATTAATTTATGTTGATTTTGTGGTATAAGTGGATAAAGGAAAAGATATAAATTGTTTAGAAAATAAAGTTTTATAAGCATCATCTAGTAGGAGAATGTTAATTCTTACAAGTGGTTCTATAAAAGACTGATACACCACATCATTATATAGCTTGCTAGATAGTTAATACAAACATTCTTCTCCTTAAGAGTATAATATTATTTAATATTGTGAATAATTATTGCATAGTATTTCAAACTTAACAGACTATAAGATAAGCTTAATAGCAGAGTTGAAGTTAGAATAACACATCAAATCTTGATGTCGCATCATACCTTTAATGATCTCCCAAAATATCACAACTATTCTAAAAAAATAGTCGCACACAATGTCTACCTATGCAACCCTCTTTAATTAGATTACAATATTCCAATATCTTTGATAAAGTCCCAATTGTCGAAAGTTTGAACCGATGTTGAAATTCTCTTGTCACAATTAAGTACACCCTATGTCTAGAAATATAAAGTCTCCCAAAACAAATTTTTATTTACAATTAGTTATCAAACGTGATTTGACATTATTCCATTGAATTAATGAAAAAAATCATTAAGCATAAATACTATTGAATAATAAAAGAGATTTATCATTTTAATGAATAGAATTCAACAATTCACATGTATTGCATAAATCTAGAGAAAACTCATTTATAGAGGCCTAATATAATAAATGTACTTAATCATTCTAAAAGAAGTCATGAAAAATGAGATGAAGAGAGAGATCAAAGTAATATTACAAATAAAATGAATGAAACCTTGACGAAGGATTTTCACCTCCCAACTCCAAACTCTAAAAATTGCACTACAAGAAAATGTTGATTTTCCCTAGTGATTTAGTGACGTGGTAAGCACGTGAAAAAAAACGTTGTCAAGTGAATCTCACGTCACTAACATATTTAATTAATAAATTATGTAAACCTAAAATCTACAACGAAATCCGTGAATTTTAAGAGAGAGGGAAATTTGAATTTTTCAAAAATTCAATTGTGGCGTGATAAACACATGGGAACTAAAAATTCAAAAAAGTCTTTTTATTTGCCACGTGAGGAGCATGTCACAAAATACCCACATGCCATTCACGTCGCAAATGGGTAATAATGTAGTTGGTTGCGACGTGGTTTTCACGTGGATACCTTCCCACGTGTCCACCACGTCGCAAGTCTTCTTATATAAACCAAACCCAGAATTTTATTCACAAGCATCTCAGTTCTTCTTGTTTTCCTTCTGTCTCTCCTTTCTTCCTTCTTCCCCTTCTCTTCATTCTTCCCCTTCTGCCTCCCTTACACCTTCATTTTTTAACGAAAATTTTACAACAAATTTAAGGTGATTGATATGTATGTTGTTTTTGTGGCTGTTTTACCGTTTATTTTATATTTTTCTTATTATTAATTGCTGATTTTTTTTCCAGATCTAAGATTAAGAAGTTCCATTGTAAGCTTTGAGAGTTAGCTCTATATTGAGGTATTTATGCATTTCAATTTGTTTATTTTTCAGATTTTTGGTGATATATGAAATATTATTTTAGAATATTGATTATAAAATTTTAGATTTGTTGTTGTTAGATGTAAGTATATATATGTATTGTGTTGTTGTTGTTGAAAGCTAAAAATAAAAATAATTTGTTATAGAATATATATTTTTAGAATATATATATTTAGAATATATATAATAACATGATCCTTTAGGAGTTTATTCAGTTAGGTGATTAAAAGTCCCTTAATCATTTAATTTGAATTATAATAACATTAGGGTTTGTACCACACACATTCCCTTAATTTAATCCTATATTTATTCATCTTCAAAACCCTAGAAAAAGGTAACCACCAATGCATGACAACACTAAACTCCATCCCATTCTTTGGTACCATATCTCTTTCTCCTAATTATGTTCTTAACTTATCCAACATAAAACTAAAACCCTCTTTTCTCAAATAAATTAAAACATTTAACAACTACGATGCGAATTATGCGCCACAAGCCTTAAAAAATGGAGATGGATGAGATGGAGCATTCTTATCCTCATTATGAATATCTTTGGATACGAGACGTATGACCTAGTTGTTCAAAGTATTCACCTCCGTTCATAGACTTTAGTGTAATTCAAATCAAGGCAATTTTCGACATTCGTCTTCGGACAAAAATCAACATCAATCAACATCAAAAACACCATTCTTGTTAGACCCAACACAACACCTTTTGGTTTTGACACCTGTACTCTTGCATGTTTGTCTTGCTAATACCCTGGTTTAGATAAATCCCCTTGCATGTTTGCCTTGTTAATCCTTTGGTTTACGTGAACCCTTATTTACCTTGTTAATCCTCTGGTTTAGGTAAACCATTATCTGCCTTGATACCCGAGTCTAAGAAAACCCTTACAACACTACATTGGTTTAAACACCTCATTCTTGGTTTAGACACCTCATTCTTGGTTTAGACACCTCATCCTTAACTCAGACACCGCTGTATTGGTTTAAACATCACCCCCTGGGTTCAAACACTACCTTCACCACCTTCACAAAACTTTACAATTCTTTGTCCAAATAGAAATTTCTTTTTTGAAAAAGAACTGTTATAATCCATTATGTAGTAGTCATAATAAAAGCTTAAAGCTTCTGAACTAGGATCAATCAACTAGTGTAAAAACACTTCTAGGATACGATTATAACATCGTTCCCTAAAATCAACCAACAAATACTTATTTTTTACTCCACGAACTACGGAGCTCTAATTTTCTTATTGCATTATGGGAATACGTAAGCATAGAATTTCAAAATCTTGGCAAGCACATTAAATAAAAACTTAGTTTCCCCTTAATTTAAACCAATCAAAAGTAACATTTAGATAATAACACCCATCCACGTAAAGAACAATCAAAACGGTTCCCATTGAGTACAATAGATGTAAGGCATGCTAATACCTTCCCCTTGCATAACCGACTTCCATACCCTTTTTTTCCTTAGGATTTTATTGATATTTTCTCTTTCTCTTAGAATAAATAAAATTCAGTGGAGACTTTGTTTTATTTTTGAGTGTGCGATGCGATCGGGTATTTTTTACACCGCGACAGTTGGTGATTCTGCTGGGGAGTTTTTATTCCTAGTATTTTTTGCAATGCGGAAGATGGCGAATCTGCTAGGGAGTTTTTCTTCCTGGTATTTTTCACGATGCAACCTTGGGACAACAATTTTAGTCAAGGATGAAGATTTGAGTTTGGTTCATCCAACAGACAACCTTTTCAACATTGCTCATGCACGTGTCTATAGTGAATCACAAAAATATTGAAGCCTCCATTAAAAACCTTGAAACACTGGTGATTCAGTTAACTAAATAGTTCTCAAATATCCCAAGTAACAAATTTAGTGCAAACATGAAAAACAATCCAAAGGATCACAAGTTCCTTGAAATGTATTAATAAATATAGGGATGCTTAAGTTCATATAGATTGCATGAAAAGTAGAACTCTGGCTAATTTCAATTTTATCCAGCCTTTTATATTTCGAGTTTATTGTTAATTTCATGTTTGATTAGTTTAGGAACACTGTTATGATTCAATCAAGTGGCATGCTCGTCTTAGTGTGGAATATAGTTGTATGCTTAAAAGGTATATTGCAACTTTGAGTTGTCATACCCTAAATTTGTCCTACTTGTATATAATTCTCATTTGTACATCCTTTCCGCTCCTCATATTCACACAAAAAAAAATCAAAAAAATAAGTTTTTTCTAATCAAGGTATTACTAGGTGGAATTAAGTTTCAAGTAGGGTATGTGCCCTATTCACTTGGTGCATGGCGAATATTTGGACTTATCAAGGTTCAAGATGTTTTTGAGTTGGGTACACCTTCAATCATATGTCAAGGATTTGTTCAAGAAGTAGAATTCATGTGAGATTACCAGGGCATTGGTGTGTGTAGTGATGTTTTTATTCATGATTGGACTCAATTTTGGTTAAGCTGGATTTTTTTTATTTCGAGGTTAATGAGCCAAATAATAGGATTTATCCCTCTCAAGGCATGATTGACCTTTCTTAAGTAATTTTTGAAGATAATCCCAAATGATGCTTCAATATGCCTGGAGTCATATCTTAAGATCAATATTGAGGTTATGAGAATTAAGCAAGCTAGGTTATGGTTGGATTTATTTCAAATTTGTGCACTTTATGATAAGTCATGCTTCAAGGAAAGGGC